CTCTCTACCTCTATGTGATCAACATGTGGTATTTGTCTTTCTGTATTTGGCTTATTTCACTTAATATAGTATCTTTCAGTTCCATCTATGTTCCTTCAAATGACAGAACTTCATTATTTTTTTTCACTGAATATTTCATTCTGTATATGTACATCACATTTTCTTTATTCATTCAGTGGACACTTAGGTGGATTCCCTAAGACTGCTGCAGTAAGCTTATGAGTACAGATGTCTTTTTAACACATTGATTTCATTTTCTTTGCTAGATCATATGGTAGTACTATTTCTAGTTTTTTGAGGCATCTCCATAGTTTTCCATAATAGTGGTACTAATTTACATTCTCACCAACAGTGAGAGTTCCCCTTTATCAGCAGCCTCCTCAGCAATGGTCTTTTTGATAACCATTCTACCAAATGAAATATCCCTTAATTTACATTTCCATGATGATTAGTGATGTTGAGCATTTTTCCATATACTTGTTTTCTTTTGAAAACTGTTTCAGGTCATTTGCTCATTTTTAACTGGATTATTTAGAGACTTTTGCTATTAAGCTCCTATTATTCTGAATACTATACCTTCACATGATTGTTTGCAAATATTTTCTCCCATTCTACAGGTTTTCTCCAGCCAGTTGTTTCCTTTACTAGATAGGTTTTCAGTTCCATATACTCCCATTGCTGTATCTTAGCCAAAAAAAATCTTTGCCTACGCCAAGTTTTCAAGTATTTCCTCTATGTTTTCTTCTAGTAGTTTCAGATCTTACTTAATTTAGGTTCTTGATTCATTGAATTGATTTTTTTATAAGACACAGGGGTCTACTTTCACTCTTCTGCATTTGTATATCTGGTTTGCCCCAGGACCATTATTGAAGAGCATCTCCTTTCTTCAATGTATGGTCTTGGCATTGCAATATACAATTTACTAGATAAATGAACTGTTCAAGAAGAGATGACATGAACATGGCCTTTTATGTGGACCCTCACAACATTTTAGCTGACTGCATTGCTAACAGGCAATAACCATGAAATTATTACAGTAGGACACTATGTACTGGAAGTTAATCATATGCAATTATGATTTAGTATTATATCCCTAGGGCTGGGGATTTAGGTCAGTGGTTCTACCACCTGCCTCTAAAGTGCAAGGTTCCGATCCCTGGTACCAAAAAAAAAAACAACAAAAAACTTTACATTTCTCTTGACTGTGAACAGCATCATGTACAGTTTTTGAGTGGATAAATTTTAATAAATTTTAACTTTTTGTAACATATTTGTGTATATGTTATACTAAACAACAAAAAAAGATTATTATCTATATATGTTTGCATATATTTGTGACAAATGTTTTTATACTTTTTTAAAAAGTTTTTGGATAATTTTAGGCTACAGATTGTTTTTTCAAATTGTTGTAAATCTTCCTCTCTCCCAAAAAATCTTTGTACATATAGACCCTTGGAGTTCAAACCTGTGTTGTTCAAGGATCAACTGTACAATGAACAAGAAAAATATGGGAAACTATTAAGTGTACCAATATATACCTAACAAGAATATAAGGAGGGAAATGAATAGGAAAAAAATTCAAATATATACAATGGCTAGAAATTCAATAAATTTGATTAAAAAAAATTATATAGCACAAAAGCTCAATAACTTTCAAGTAGGATAGAGGCAGAGAGTTACCTCCAAACATATCACAGTAAAACAGTGAAGGACACAAACTAAGAGAAAATCTTAGGAGTTGAAAGAGAAATATAACTTGTCATATACAAAAGAACTCAAGAGTAATAGCTAACTTATGATCAGAAATAGTAAAAGCCAGAGAAGGTAGTGTGATAACAGATTTAAAATGCTGAAAAAGAACCAGGCATGGTGGTA